CGTGAGATCATGACCTGAGCGGAAGTTGGACGCTTAACCGACTGGGCCACTCAGGCGCCCTCCCAGATACTCGTTTTTAATGCAACACAACAAAATCCCTCCTGCTCACCCCTCCCCACCGAGTCACGAAGTCCAGAAACCGCCCGGTCCCCATTATCACCAGGGGTCCAGAAGGCACCCTGGGCCCCAGCCTGCCTCCCTTCCCCACTCAGCACCTGCATCATCGAGCCCACGGAGCAGCAGGACTGGGACCTGGGAGCAGCAGCCTCTGAATAGAGCCCAGCCCTCAAGGACAGACCAAGACACAAACACCACGATACCTGCAGCACAAGGGAGAACGGGACTGAACCCCATGTAGGTGTGGACAGCAGATAGCGGACCAGGGAAAGTGAAGAGGGAGAGCATCCTGGAGAAAGCGACGGCTAAAAAGGGTTCGGACACAGAGCTCGGGAAGATGGAGGGAACAGCATCAACAGAAACTGAGGTTCAAGGAAGGGCGGCGCCCAAAACCACAGGGCCCTGGAGTTGAGACGGACCAGAGACAGCCCCTCTACACAGCCCCCCAAAAAAGTCTTGCTGGGACTTGATTTCTTCCACTGACAGGAGCCTAAGCACCTACTACAACGTGCTACACGATTTCATAAGAAATGAGCTAAATATGACCTACTGCATTCGTTAGAAAACAAAATGAACGAAAACTATATATTTAATACCTAACCACCACAGACACAGGGTCTGCTGCCTACTTTAAGATTTAAATGCCCTGAAAGGCACTCTCCGTATGGCTGGTTGGAAAGACGCTGGCCGGGCCTCCATGGAGGGAAATCAGGAGAAATGTTACAAACTAGTCCTCAGACCCAGCACCCCAGCTTCCGGGAGTTCAACCCCTAGCTGTGCAGGCACGCGTGCAAAACGGCAGCTGTCCACACCAGTAACGTTCCCAAACTCTGTTCCCTGGGTCCCCCAAGGTTGGCTCGCAGGACCACTCAGTAAAGCACGGATCGCGACCTCAACGACAGCACGCGGCCGTAGGAAGAATGGGGGGCGCTCCAGGCACCAACAGGAAGACTTCACTAAGGCAAACTGTCAAGGGGAAAAGAGGAGGCAAAAATGAGAGCCTGGAAATGTGCTCTTGCCTCTGTCCCACACGAGGGTCCTAGAGACACCTAGGGGTGCAAGGGAGGGAGCAGAGCAGTGGGGTAAGGCCTCACTGGACCTTTTTAAACTTTTTTATGCTGTTTTAATTCTCAATCATGTGAATGGGTTGCCCATTCGAGCAAGAAATCGGTACATTTCGGGAAACGCCCACGAGAAGGTGACCCTCATGCTCTCCGCTCCCAGCACACAACCTTCCACTGCTGCCCCAGGACAAGCCTCTGGCTGTGCACATCCGTCTAAAGGTCCTGATCCTGGGATGCCCGGCTGGCTCAGTCGATGGAGCATGTGACTCGATCTCAGGATCATGATTCGAGCCCCACCGTTGGGCATGGAGCCTATTTAAAATTAAATTAAAAAAAAAAAAAAAA